ACGCTATTCCTTTTTTGTTGTTGTTGTTGTTTTTCTTTTTCTCCAGTTTTCTCCTCAATTTATTGTATCCAGTTCCACTCATTAGTTAGGACTCCCCCAGCCACACCACCAGCTCTACGAAGGCAAAAGCCAGCACAGTCTTCCTTCAAGACCTGTGAAGCGCCACTGCATCTTTTCGGACCTTTATTCAGTTATTCAGTACATCACAGCTGTAATTATTGTAATATAGTTTTATTGCTCAAAGCTAACACAATGAACTCCAAAACGTATTTGCACATAACACTTTTCACCCTGTTCCCCAGCAATCTGAAGTGGCACATTGACATATGAAAGTATTAACTAATAATTTTACTAATGTTTTCCATACACTCATGACTAAATGCACATTAGTGAGAAGGTGCAGCATTAAATGTGACGATGCAGCTGCAAAATGTGTATAAAATTACCGTTCAGTTTACTAAGGCTTACTAAGGTTATGATGCCACAACGTATCTCGCCACCTAAATCTGTGCTACTCTTATGAGCCTCAGGGTTTAAGATGTACAGCGAAGTAGCGAAGCCATCAACAAGCTCGGGACAAAAGAGAAAATGCAGTGAGGAAGAGATAACAGTGTTAATAAAACAACCTCTTTCCCACCAAAACCTTCTTCTCACATAAGTACGTCCAACCTGACAAGTGAAATAATGTTATTCAGTCGGTAAACGTTCAAGGCCTGTGCCTCCGTCTAGCCTGTATGTCTGCACCATGCTTTTGAGGCGGCACCTCTAATTTATGCCTGTTTTCCAGAGGCAGAGAAATGTTCACGCACCATCATTAGTCGACCAAACTTGAGTAAATCAAATGGAATACATTATCAACCGCATTTCCAACGATCCTCCCACATTTTGTGCAGTCCTCACTCAAACGCATTCGTGTGATGGACAGAAACGCATTTTGCATTTAGCATTTTTCCATGTATAAGTAGTTATTTCAATGTTTGATGAGGCTTTTCGCTTTGAATGGGATCTGTAAGCTTTAGCTCTTTATGCTTTTAGTTCCATTAGGCTGCTGGGAGATGACAGTGTTTGTATGTACCTTTACAAGCATACTGGTGACCATTTTGTCTACTCCTTTTGAAATTGCTTCAAAAATGATGAAGAATTTTATAGGGTAAATTGTCCATCTTTGCCACCAAACTCTATAGTTGACGTGCCAGGCTTGAAAGCTTGTCAGAGGTTGGAACTAAGGGCTACAAAACTATTCATTTTTGCCAGTCGACTGGTCATCATTGAGATATTTTAAAACAGGGTTTCTCAACCTGTGGTCTGCAGACCACCAGTGGGCCACCAAGCACCCTGTAGTGGTCCGTGGGCCTGAACTCTGGGGAGGCAGTAGTTCATAGTGGGCCGGTTACATCACTTTAAGTCATAATAAGTGGAAAACAGATGAACTTAGGAATCGAAGAATCAAACAAATTATAACCAATATATGTACAAATAAAAACCTGATTGGTTGTGGTCCTGCTGCTTTTTTTTTTTAGTTCACTGTGACCGGTCCACCCATATGCAGAACGGTGTTCCGGCAAAAACCTGTGGGTCTCATTCCGCTTCCAAACGAACCCTGGCTGCTGGTGGGAACACATTCTGTGATGAAATGAAGGAATTCATCAACAGAGCTCACTTTCCTCCTCTTCTAGCAGCACCTTGGTGCTGTATCATCAGCAGAATCTGCCTCTTTTAATGTCTGACTCTACAGACTCTCACTTCAGCACCACAACCTGCTGTAAAATAAAATAATAGTGAAGCCCCGTGTTTGATTTGGATCGGAACGTATTTTTGGCCAAACCTCAGCGACATGAGAGGTTAAACTTAAATGATAAACAAATCCTAAAGAAGTTGATCTCAAGTAAGGTTTATTATTGTCGTTGACTGTGACATCGCTAATCCAGAGGTCCAGTGAGATGAGTGAGGTTTGGTTTCAAATGAATCACAAAAACCCTCAAAATGAACGGGACATCCCGAGACCAAAGGCAGTGCAATATTTTCAATGAATGTACTGATGTACTGCAGATGTACTGCAGCTCCAAATCACAGTCCACGTTGACCTCACGCATATTTCCAACTCTGCCCACTAGTTAGGACTCCGCCAATCACACGATACCACCAGGCTTCCTCCGAGTCCTGTGAAGCGCCATTGCATCTCTTCAGACTGCAACGTCATTGGACAGTTGTACACGCTTGGAGGAGAACACTAACTGCCTGTTCTGTTACGTCAGCTGACAGATGCCTGCACTGGCCAGCATCACGCTGAGTGATGGGGGGAGACGAGGGGGCCAACCAGCCCACCCAGAGAGAGTGAGGCCAGTTCTGCTCTCTTGGACTTCCGGCCAAGGATGGCTGTAGCATCACAGGGGATCGAACTCATGACCTCCTGATGATACGGCCAACGCTTAGACAGTTGTGCCACTCGAGAGCCCTCTAGTGTACGACGTTATTTAACGCAGGTTTGTTACGGAACGTCACACTAAGTGGTTTGTGATTGGTCGTTTTGCACATCAGTCAAACGGCTCTTTTCTGTCAGAGACGGCAGTTCGTGAAATCCTAACAGTCTGGTTTACACAGCCGTGTTGAAGACCTTATAAGAGTACAGCTACGTTCTCAGTTCCAGGCCAAAGTGGCACAAATCCGATTTTTTGCCTTGATGTGACACACAAATATGATCTTTTCAAATCAGATCCGAGCCAGTTTCATACGTGCTCCTAGACCGGGTAAATATCCAGGACATGGTCCTGAGACTGGATCAGTATTTTGTTTTCACCATCTTCCAGTGTTAATCTGACCACAGCACCAAACATCAGCTTAGTGCCAGTAAACACTGAAAAAGCCTCAGACCTTTTCCTCCTTTGCCTCGCTCTAATAACGAACAGCTGAGAGCTGCTCAAAGTGAACCATTTGTTACACCGGTTGGTTTATTTGTTGTTCATGACGGATGTGGTTCGTTCGCATGACGTTACTGATTAGGATGTGCGCATGTGGTTCGTTTCAGGACGCCGGTTCACATTAATGACACATTTGAGTCACTTTTTTACACAAATGTGACCCATCGAGTAAGAAGGATCAGATCTGAGCAAGAAATTTGGAATTTAGCAACAAAGCTTGCAACGTGAGCGTAACCTATATTCACACGTGCGCAGGGGTGCGCAGCTTGGAGCGGAGTTGGTTTGAGTTTGAGTAGTATTTCCGCTTAAATAAAGTACTTTGGGCTTTGTGTTTAGCAAAAAATCTGATTTCTTCTCTCTCGTCCCGCCTGTTTACCGCAGTTTTTAGCACTGCTGCATTTCAGGCACCATCACTGACCAGTCGAATGCTGCCCACAGCGCCCACTAGTGGATTTAGTCGTCAGCTAGTTGACCAGTCTGTGCATCAGTGGTAACCAACAGGGCTGTTTAGCAAAGAGCCAAAACCGACTAAATATTGCAGAATGCGCAACTTGATTGATTAAAATCTGTGTTTATACCATTTAAGTGTGGGGAAAAATAAACGGTGTAATGTTTTTCAGTGCTACTCTGTTAAATATTTGCTGGCTTCACCACTGAAAAGCGACATGATTTGGGAAATAGCGGCGCTAACAGCGCTCGTCTGGGAAATGTAGTTAAACTGAAAGCTTCACTGCTTTCCTACTGCCCACTACTGCCCAACGCTGCATACGTCTACACGTATTCTGAAGCATATAGGAAAATACTGTGCTCAGTTACTACACGTCTCAGCGGTGATTAGATGGCGCTCCTCATGCAGAAGGACAGTGGCCCAAAACACACTCTACTGGGAACAAAGCGGTTTTCACAGCCAGGAAGTGTGAACTTCTCCACATTTGGCATGACAGTGAAGCCCCAAAACACACAGGCAATAAATATGGCTACAATACAGGCCCAGCAGGGCCTGACCAGGGACAAAACATCTGCTAATGTCTCCACTGCTGTTCAAAAGCTGGAATCACTTGACATATTAACAGTTTTTGCTATTTTATATACAATAATAACTTGCACAGTGTGGTTTTTAATATTATAGATTATTTACCAAAAGATATTTTAGATATATTTCAGGAATTCTCCAAACAAGAAGGTATTAAGTGCTAAATAATGTACTGCAGTTGGCATCTGTTGGTGTTCAAGTTATCTGCCTTGATGTTTTAAATATGACGAATATGATGAATTCTGGATGTTATTTGTCTAATGTTACACAGCTTTCTCAAACATTTTAGTCTTTTGCAGCTCCATTCATTACTTATTATGATCTTATTAATTTCTGTCATTTAGTTAAATGTATTTACATTTACATGTTAAACATAATTTATTTAATTTATTTTTTTACATTTATTTGTTATGTTTTTCAATTGAATTATATTCAAAGTTCAAGAAAATCCACTGTTGAAAGGACGAGTTTATTTTTTAAATTCATTAAAAGTATGACCTTTTTAAAGTGAGTTGTCATGTTAAATAATCTTGATCTTAATACTGACCAAAATAATCATGATTATGATTTCTGCCATAATTGAGCAGCCCTACTTCCAAGTGTCCTAACAGTTTTTTGAAGTCTGTGAAGTCGTGCAGCACTAAGAGATAAGAATGATTTTATACATTCGTCTTGAAGTTGGTTTTACTGATAGACACTAACTCCAGACTTTTGACTGGTAATGTATGCGTCAGTCTTCAGGCCTTTAGATTTAGATTAAATCAAAATATCATTTTTATGAGGAATTCACTAATAGAAATGGCCAAAAATGACTTGGAAGCAAATCCTGCTACATTAACATCCATTCAAGTTTATCTTTCTTCTGTAAAGATAGGAGATTTTGTTACAGCAGTGATGATGCAGAACCAGAGGCTCATAAATGTTGTCCAAATATTTCTGGAGCTCAGTGCTGCTTTCTACTGACAGATGCTCTGAATAGGTTCACCACTGGAACTGCCTGGTTCCTCCTCCCCTCCTTCATTCTCTGCCTCTTTCTCTCTGCTTTTCAGATCTACCCAGGCTCAGTGGAGCTGATGCAGGTTATTGAGGAGTTCATCCACATAGTCGGCCTGGGCATGAAGGATTTCCACAACGCCTACCTGATGACCGGAAACTTGGGTAAGGCCTTTGAAGAGCCTCCAGCAAATTAGTGGATATTTTACAGTGGACATAAAGTCTTTCTAGCAACAGACTGTGCATGCTTACATTACATGGCAGCATTACTCTGGATAAACATGTTAGACTGTCTTCACTGCCCAAAGAAAAACATACGTTTTTTATTTTTACTTCATTCATTAGAGTACAGCAGCTGTCCTTTACATTGTGTGAACATTTCGTGATGAAGGGACCAACAGAAATCTCTTTATATTAGCTCACATTGAAAGTAAGCTTAGAATTTTTCTAGTTGTCTTTGGACACATGGTTCCTAAATGCCTTCGGTGTACGATTTTAAGAATGTGGAGGTTCTGCACACTCACACGTCTCATTTACCATAGTAATTCACCCGCTGAGAGATTCTTAGCTCCAAAGAACCAGCTTTATTTTTGGTGCATGCTTACGTTAACATAAACAGCACACTGCATTTATTTAATTCCCAGTCAAAACAGCCATTAAATATTCAGGTATTCGTTTTTCAGTGCCAGGAAACACATATTTCATGTTATAAAGTGAGACTCACTTTCAGTTCCTCAAAGAATCTGCAGACACACCTCCAAAGTTCAGTCTTAGAAGCTGGTTGATGATTTTCTGAAGTAATCAAACACATTCAGTGGTGTTGAGGTCTGGACTCTGGGGTGGTCAGTCCATCGTTCAGCTTCTTTGTTTGATTAGCTTTGTGTCTGTTTCCCCAAATGAGAATATATTTCCAAGCATTTTTTAAAATGTGTGTCAAGTCTGACACAAATTAAATTCATTAATGACATTAATGATTTGGGTTTGAATAGACCAGCACATAATATCTAAGGTCTGAATACTTTATTATCTTTTAATTATTTTTAACTCTGGGAGCGCAGTTTGAACTAGCTCTGTGGAGTGGTCCGTATATTTTTAATGGCATGTCGAATTTTCAGTAAACACTAGCTACACTACATGGCCAAAAGTTTGCGGACACCTAGTCATCCATTGTATTTACCAAAATCAAGACTATTTAAAAGGAGTTTGACTCCTCTGCAGCAGTGTTGGCCTCTACTCTCTACTCTGAAGTGATCAAACACATTCAGTGGTGTTGAGGTCTGGACTCTGGGGTGGTCAGTCCATTGTTCAGCTTCTTTGTTTGATGTGTCCGTCTCCTTTTCTCAGTGAGGTTCTTCTTGATCAGCTACACATCCTTTCAGACCCACAGCGCTGAGTCGTCTTCTCACAGTGGAAGGATGGACAGAAACACCTGTGGATGTTTTCAGATCTGAAGCAGCTTGATTTTCTCCTCTCTCTCAGAGATGAAAGCTTTAAGCGCTGTTTATCTGATGGGGGCAGTTTTGGGGTCGACCAGGTCTTCCAGGTGGTTGCAAGGAGGCACATTTTCTCTGTAGTGGTTTGAACAGTTTTGGAAACCATCACTCCTTTTCCTTTGACTGTCTCCTTCCTTATGCTGGAGAATTATCTTATATCCTCAGGAACATCTGAAAAATAGTTCTTAATGCCCGTTTTGACTAAATGACTTCTGCACAGTGCTGCACTTAATCAGCAGCTGCTCCAGACTTGATTGGCACATCCAAAACTGTTTGAGCAGTTAAGAAGTATTCCACGTTAGCTAGGTTAGCTCCTGCGTCTGTGATGATTTGCTCAGTTGGGCGGCCCTTAGCAGCTCAGAAAGTCAATTCTGTTTACCATCAGTAATGGAAGATAAATGGTGCATGGAGTGAGAGGAGGAGCCAAACAGCAGTGAGTCGATAATGTTAATTAAAATCAAGCTTTTTCCACTTAGTCGGCTAAATTCCTGTGACAACACCCACAGCTGATTTCAAAGAGGCTGTGCTACACAGCTGTGTTAACGGCAGAGAGTTCAGTTGCTCAGATCGCAGGAAACGATTTCACTGAGATCACTTGTTATCTAAGTATGGCATCTCCCTGTCCATCCATCCATCTATCCATCCATCTATCCATCCATCTATCCATCCCTGCTTTATTTTACTCAGGGCTGGGATGTAACAGAATTGGGAGTACATATTCAGAATACATAAATGAAGTATTTATATTCAATCCAAGTTATGTTTTGTAAAGGCAGTATTCAGAATACCACTAATCTTTTACATTTTTAGGACAATACCTTTTGAAACAATGTTCAAAGAAACACAAACAGTGGTTGTTTGTTTACTTTGGCAAAACTAGGCACCAAACATGGATGAACATTGGATGAGCTCAAAAAGAGGATCTCGATTAACGACTTCTTTACAAACACTCTCATAATCTCAGCGTTACTGAGCTCTGCTAAAGCCTGAGTAGACTGATAAATCAATGTGATGATCAGTTATTAATCTCAGTGTTACTGAGCTCTGCTAAAGCCTGAGTAGACTGATAAATCAATGTGATCAGTTATTAATCTCAGTGTTACTGAGCTCTGCTAAAGCCTGAGTAGACTGATAAATCAATGTGATCAGTTATTAATCTCAGTGTTACTGAGCTCTGCTAAAGCCTGAGTAGACTGATAAATCAATGTGATGATCAGTTATTAATCTCAGTGTTACTGAGCTCTGCTAAAGCCTGAGTAGACTGATAAATCAATGTGATCAGTTATTAATCTCAGCGTTACTGAGCTCTGCTAAAGCCTGAGTAGACTGATAAATCAATGTGATCGGTTATTAATCTGTGTTACTGAGCTCTGCTAAAGCCTGAGTAGACTGATAAATCAATGTGATCAGTTATTAATCTCAGCGTTACTGAGCTCTGCTAAAGCCTGAGTAGACTGATAAATCAATGTGATCAGTTATTAATCTCAGCGTTACTGAGCTCTGCTAAAGCCTGAGTAGACTGATAAATCAATGTGATGATCAGTCATTAATCTCAGTGTTAATCTCACTGACGTAGCCACAGCATGTCCAGCAGCGACACTGAGGTGTTTAAAAACTCCAGCAGCACTGCTGTGTCTGATCCACTCACACCAGCGCAACACACACTAACACACCACCACCACGTCAGTGTTACTGCGGTGCTGAGAATGATCCACCACCCAAATAGTACCTGCTCTGTGAGGGTCCATGGGGGTCCTGACCACTGAAGAACAGGGTAACAAAGTATCAGAGAAACAGATGGACTACAGTCTGTAACTGTAGAACTACAAAGTGAAACTATACGGTCAGTGGAGCTGATAAAGTGGACAGTGAGTGCAGAAACAAGGAGGTTGGTTTCATAAAGAGTGTATGTTCATGTGTTCTGTGTGCTGTTGGAATTAAACAGATGATGTATACAGAAATGTATTCGCCTGTTCTGCAGTCACAGTGAATGACACTCTCAAGGTTCTGTCGCTCTTAAGATGTGGATTAGTTTGGCATAGAGTGTCAGGTCAGGGCTTATTACCTCTCTCAGCTTTTGACTCGTGCCAGAGTGAATAGAGCTTCTCAGAACCGGCCTTTGTGGGTTGTGAGTTCTGAGAAGAAGCGATCTAACGTCACAGAGTCGCTTTTACAAGTGAATATTCCATTCAGCAGCAGTGAAGAGTAAGAAAGTACATCTAATTTGTTTTTGTAGTATCTGCTATGTACCGTTTTAGAAGTCAAGAGTCATTACTTTGGCTGTACAATTCAGATGTAAAAACGTAATTACATGCATAATAAGGTAGTGAGTGATGCGGTGAGTTAGCTTTGATAGAGCTTTAATAATCTGGAAAGTTTTTTTTTTTTAAATATGCATCAAAATATCAAATAATATAATTTATTACAGTGTTTGTACTTTTTATAGTTCGCACAAGTTGTTTTCATGGCTGATGATGGAAGCCTGGTAAATTCAATATTAATAACTTCTTGCTTGCGCACTCGTGCATTGTTCTTCAAAAGGTTCTTGGGTTAAGAGAATGGTTCTATTTTAAACCATGAGTTCTATCTAGAACCATGTGTATGCTTGAATATTTGTTCCATGGTGAAATGGTTCTTCAGGCTGATGGAGAATGTGTTCTATAGAGCTTCCATTGTTACAAGCTTGACATCATTACAATAGCAGAACCCTTTTTGGTGCTACCCGGAACCATTTTCAAGAAGGTTCTATATAGAAACATATACAACACATTCTCACGTTCTGAAGAACCAGTTTACAATGCGTAGAACTATTTAAGCATGAACTGGTTCTATATATAACTCATGAATCTAAATAGAACTGTTCTCTTTACTAAAGAACGCTTGAAAAACTTTCAAGATGTTATTAATATTGAATTTCAGCAGGTTTTCTTTATCAGCCTTGATGGCTACAACTTGTGTAAAGTATAAAAAGTAAAAATAATTTACTACATCATTTTATGTTTTTGTGCATATTAAAAAAATACATTTAAGCATGAAATAGTTCCATATAGAAATCTTGGTTCTAAATAGAACCATTTTGTTTACTAAAGAATCTTAAAAAGCCACCTTTTTTAGTGTAGCTTATTGAAACATTCTGTCAAAAGTGTAGATTATAAACTGTAAGTGGAGTCGAACAGGATATTTTTCATCATGATTTGAATTGGATGAGAAGTTAATTCTTATTTCTGTGGAAAGGAAAACCAGCCTTTACATTTGTGTCATATTTGTCTTTTCTTGGCATCAAAACAAAGAAAGTTAGAATTGCATGTCGCTGTTGTCGCACAAAAACCTCGTATCTTCAAAATGGTAAATTTACAGGAGAAGGAAAAAACATACTCTACTTTTAATGGAAGTCAGTGGAACCAGGGGTTTTTCCAAGTTATTTTGGGTCATTTCTTTCAGTCCATTCATCACAAAATTTACACACAATGTAAAGAGTAACAGGCATTTTCAAATTATGATAAAAGCTAAAAAATGACAAAAACGGAGATACGAGGTTTTGTTCCAGCAGCAGTGATATGCAATGGCTGTGGACTGTAATTCACTGTGTAGCTCCCTGTGTAATTAAATATATCAGTGCTGTACTGAGACCACCTTTCAATCTATTCATTTTCAGGGAAACAAATATTTAAC